GCTCCATCTAATAATATCCAGAACGTTGCAGAGTTGAATGCAGATTTTTGCAAATTAAATTTTGCAAACTTGATGTAGCACAAACATGATTGTGGCAAATTCTGCATAAATTAGAATACGTAAGTCTGGAAAATTGAACTTTGTAGATCTTGTTTAAATCCAGAACCAAGGTTGGACTTCGTAGATTTAAGGTCTACACTTAATTTTTCATAATTGAGTAACCTCTCATTATTTGAGTTCCAGTTTCTGTGCAAAGAAAATGTTTGACAAATCATTGTTATTTGCAAGACAAAGCAGTTGCATTCTCACTAATTGCAATTACTAGTACAGTTTTTACTAGTGTGTAACATAAAAGTCTTGTTTTTCTTACAGTTTACGCATTGTTTACGTATTTTACGCATACATTACACGTAGTCTATGCGTTGTTTATACTAAAATGTAGACAATCTTTTTTTACGCGTAGAGACTCATACTTGGTATAAACATAATAATTTTTACAAACAGGAAAACGTTTCTTAAATAGTTTGTTAAATCCATAGATATTCTTAAAACTATCATTTCAAGAACTTTCTACTTAATTTGAGTGTATTTTTTAAATCAGGTGATTTTAAGATATATAAGGATTTTTTTAATAGCTAAATAAGCATGAAAATAATGATCTACAATATCAGGTTACAGTTTTGTATTTAGTCGTGTTCTAATCGGATACAACCTTGAAGTATCCTCCTGTCTGAAGAATCAATGCGTCTCTGAAAATAGCATCTTTCAGGACAGGATAGACGTGCCTGTAACGCGTCCGCGGAGAGTCAACTGGAGACAATCCGTTCTATCTATAGTGTTGGGAGTACGACTTAAGAAGCGAACGTTCTGTTCATGGCTAATACTAGTATACATTTGTTGTCGCCGGTTCTCGACCGAACCAAACAATTAGTAGTAGTACCGCGTGCTGTTCCAATCGGGCACAATTAAAAGTCGGTCGCCCGGAGTGTGTTGCGCAATCGTTCGCGGATACGTACTTGGACAACGAGCCAACATTACGAATATTCCCACGGTTTAACGCGATTGTTATCTGTGGTCGTAAAAACGCTTGCCCGTTTGTACGGCCGTTATTATTGCAACGCGCGTACCACTTCGGATGGAAACAAAGCCAACACAACGACGAATCGTACGTACCATTTTTGGTACCAATACAAGAACGATCCTTATATGCAATACACTTTAATTTCCCAGTATATTATATTAAAAGCCTTACTGAAATTGTACTTAATCATGTTTTACGATTAGATTAATATAATGGTTTAGTATATTTCATTTACTTTCACATTGCTTTCAAAATAACGTCAAATAGAACCGTTTTACACTGTTTGCGGAGTTTAACAGTACTCTTTTCTATTGTCATAGCGTGTAATAGCTAAGTTGTTGGTTTCTCAAACAGACCGTGTAACAGTTATCGGTTATCAGAACATTATTAATTGTTATTATACTATGCGGGTTTTCGCTTAACATTTTCCTTCCGCGTTCTGTTTCGATCGGTGGTTTGGCAGAATCGGCGTCGGGACGCCATTCGGACCGAGCGACGCCGGCCGCCGCGGCGTCCCCAAAGATCAATAAACTCAACTAAACGAACTATAACGCACACGCGGCACGAATTTGGGGACCTATTTTTAAGGTCCTCCCTATTCCACTTCTGTTCGCGTTCCAGGTATCGAATAAATTTTTTTTACCATTTTTAATACCAACACGACAAGCTTATTTTAATAAACCATTTACTTACAAAATGTTTACATTTATTTTTAAGAGCCCTTAGTTAATCCTCAAAGTGTAAACTTGTGCTTTAAATTATGCTATAAAGCGATTATATCGTCAACAGTAAAGTGCTTGGTAGGATGATGGCTTAACTGAGACCTACGAACTTCTTGTGTTAATGGACGTTAGAAGTCGTCGGGTTAACGATACGCACTGACTCCGGTGTCCATTAAATAACAAATCGCGTAATTTACGACGGGTAATGAGAAAATCCACGATTCGGTTTGTTACACATACCAGGTGTTCAGGTGAAGCCATGAAGAACACAGAGGCCGCCTCGTGTCTTTAATTGACCTAAGCGCCATGCCTAAAAGAAAGTTTTTTAACGAAAAATCACAAACTCAACGAACTTATTTCATCATTTATTTAAATTATTTGTTTCCTAGTAGTTGAATTTAAATTTTCTATTTTCCCCTACATTTATTATAGGGGATTGGGGAAAGTTTTAGTCACGTGACTAAACACTTTTGGCACGCTCACCACGAAATCGCGTTTTGTTATTTTCTTTTCGTGCCACCCCCTAAAATCGATAGATGTATCTTAAGAGTCCCAACGTAAATTCACATATTTCGAGTTTTACGTTTACATCTTATCGCGATGGGAGAAAGAATAGCGATGAAAAAAAAAGCGTTCGTAGACCTCTAGGATATATATACATACATTCTTAATTCCTCATTTATATAAGGCCTAGGCTGTAACAACGGTCGAACACGCAAGACGTCGAGGGGGTCATTGCCCCAGAAACCCCAATGCTAAAGACGTTTGCTCGAAATGATGGCAGCGCAAGGCACCCTTAATCGTCAAAATGAACCAAAAAATTTTATGTTTTTAGTATTCCAAGGTTGATAAATAATTTTCGTAACTAATGAATCACGACCAAAATGGTTGTTTCTCTTCATCCTTATCACGACACCAAGACGTTTATCGTCTAAAATACATATAACCAATCAATATGTATCACGAGTAAATATTTAATTGCGTTTCTTTCGCGCTTCCTTAACCTTATTACGATCGGTCACGAAAGCTCTTCAGATAGCAGATCTCTTAATGCCACTTCGTATTAGCGATTCCATATTTTGAAACAATACGAAATGTTTTTGCATAATTCTTGTCGCGATAACGTCTCTTTTTGTGCGAAATGTTACCTTTTAAAGCTCCATATCGGTTTAGAAGCGCAACATCGACGTCACACCGTCACGCACGTGACGCTTAAACCTTGTACGCACTATCTCGGATGTATCAAAAGGAAAGATAGAAACCCTATTTAAGCTTAGGTCACCTTATATGCCTCACTTCCATATTCTTAATTAATGAATATTTTCTTTTTTACGATAACTTAACTGGGGAATGAAAGGTTAAATGATATTCGAGCTAGGCTATCTTTACTATTATAATTAGTTTGGAGTGAAAAAAGCTATTGCGTGAAAGGGTATTCAAATTAGCTTAGTAGCTTTTCTTTAAGGTAATATACAATTCCTTTTATGGGGCATATAAATTTTTGAATAATGAATATGCGGGTTAATACTGAAATATGCATTTATACCGTTCTTTGACCAAGAATAAGGAAGTGTAGAGTCGACATCGCGGCGTCATCTCACTACGTTTGCAGACAACCCATGTCACGTTGGTAAATCATTACAATATAAAATATTTTATTTTATTTTTCTAAAGAACGAAGATTGCATCGTTTCAGACTCTGACCGATGAAAGCATCATCCACAATCGGAAGTAAACCGCAACGGTGGAGATTCCTCATCAGATACCGTAACAACGTCAAAGCCGATCGTTTATTGACCTTTTAGTCACTTCTTATAAACAAAAATATTTTGATATTGATAAAATGTTGATGTGAATAATAAAACAAATAAAAACATCACTCTCAGACTTTTCCTATCAATTTGCAGTAATAGCACGAAAACTGAACGTTTATGCCCGTCTAGGGTTAAAGAGTGCACAAGACGAGGAAAAGAATGTTTCATAGAAGAGAAAAAGAGAGAGACGAAGATAGTTCTCGCGATCGTATCTTCCGCTAAGTAGATTATTATACAATGGCCGCCGGGCGGACATGCGGAATTAATAAGCCTCTTTCACACGAAAATACCTATGGAAATTTCATCCAGTTAAGAGCGACTATCGCAACTTTACAATGTACGTTGTCATTAGAACGTGTACCTTTTCCCTGGGTACACGTAAAGCGCATAAACAATGGTGGTGCATCTGATTTTATGCTTGCTCTTACCAACGTTGGTGCGTGTGTATGCGTGAGCTTTACAACTATATGTGTATATAGGGGAGTCAATTTAAATTTCACTTTAGAAATTTGTACTGAAATAATGAGGCCGATAATTTTAGGAAAACAATTTATTTCATGTCTTATAGATGATTAGAAATCACAATAAATCAGTTTTGTTAAGTTCTAATTTTTATATGCTCCATTACTGGCATCTTATTGATGAGAACTAAATCATTGATGAGGATTTATTCCTTGTTGAAAAGTAACTTATCCGGGTTGACCAATACAACCAGGTTAACCTTCAAATCCTGATTGACTCCAGATCCTTGATGATTACCACGATGAGATAGTTGTTGGTTCCTTGAACAACGGAAGCTTCACCATCAGTAACTGGTTTTAATTGGTTCTGCTCATTTTGAGCAATTTTATTCTCAATTTCATAGTTGAATTGGTAATTTCTTGATCCATAATTGGTGTTTTCAGCATGAATTGTATTAGCACGAGCTTCGGGGTTGTTGAAACTAAAATTGTCTGGACCAAATGGAACGATGAGGAACTGATGATTTAATCCATCCCCTGTTTAATTTGGTGTTGTCAAAAGGCAAAGGAAGGTTGAAGTTGGTAGATGATTTTCGAAAAACTGGTGTTGATAGGGTGGTTGTCCATTACAGTTGATTGATTGTCCAGTAAAGTTGTGTGGTGATCGTTGTAATATGTTACTTTTCTATTAAAATTAATTAAAGAGATTGATTGATTGAGGAAAAGGATGGGAGTGGTGGAGGCAGCGAGGGTACGTAGGGAGAAGCTGGAGAAAGATAGGAATTACATAAATTATTGGTATTGTAGTTTTTTAAATTGTAACCTTTTGGAAAACAATAAATTATTATTATTATTAAAATTGAGTTGTTGAGGTTCAAATTAAATTTTAACGAAAATTTGTACTGAAATAATGAGGCCAATAATTTTAGGAAAACCATTTATTTTCCTTTTTTTACAATTTGCATGCCTTACAGATTATTATAAATCACAATAAATCGTTGTTATTCATTTCTAATATTTATATCCTCCATTGCTAGCATCTTGTTGAGTGTAAGCTTGTTGTCCATTAAAAGTTGGTTGATGAGAACTCAATCCTTGATGAGCATCTACTCCTTGTTGAGGAGCAGCGTATCCTGATTGACCATGTTGACCTCCAAATCCTTGTTGACCTCCAAATCCTTGTTGACCCCCAAATCCTTGTTGACCTCCAAATCCTTGTTGACCCCCAAATCCTTGTTGACCTCCAAATCCTTGTTGACCTCCAAATCCTTGTTTTCCTCCGAATCCTGGTTGTTGTTTGTTATTAAATCCTCCTTGGTAATTTCCAACTACTTCAGGTTGTTGAGCAGAATAACTTTTTGGGGTATTATAACCTTGTTGAGCATTGTAATTATATCCACGTTGTCCTTCAGCACCAGCGGATTTAGCAGCATCAGAGGCAGCGGAAGAAATGGCTTGATCGATGTGTTCACCAATAGGTTGGAATCCATTTTCATCAGCAATATAGTTTACGGTGTAAACTTTACCATCATCCCCAGGATAAGAGTAACTTCCTTGTACAACGGAAGCTTCACCATCGGTCACTGCTTTCAATTGTCCCTGTTCATTTTGAGCGATTTTATTTTCAGTTTCATAGTTGAATTGATAATTTCCTGATCCATCATTGGTGTTTTCAGCACGAATTGTATTAGCATGAGCTTCTGGGTTATTGGATCTGAAATTGGCTGGGCCATAAACAGGGGATGGACCAGATGGAACTTGATGATTGAAGGTAGAAAATGATTTTCTTAAAACTGGTGTTGTTGGGAGGGTTGGGGTTATGTATTGGTGAGATGGTTGTCCGTTAAAGTTGATTGGTTGTCCATTGAAATTTGTTGATTTTCCATTAAAATCGATTGGTTGTCCATTAAAATTAGTTGGGTTTAAATTTGATGGTCCATTAAAGGGTGTGCTTAAAAATTGAGCACCACCAGCTGTTTTTGCTGAATTGGGTGGAAGATAAGTGTTATCTAATTTTGCCGAATAAGCAAATCCAGCTAAAAGAATTAAAGCGAACTAAACAGAAAAAAATAAGATTAAGATAAAAATTTTTAACGTTTAATTTTCGTCTTACCACTTTCATCTTTGTTCTGATAAGTAACTTCTTGTTGATTACTTCTTGTAGGACACCAAGCAATTGATGACTTTAGATAATTTGGAGCGGTTTATATACCATCCAAAACGTGGCCATCCAATTAAAAGATGATACAGGACAGATTATTACACAAGGCTTCTTCAAGGTAACATATATTTGGCGTATGTGTGCCGAATAAAAAAATTGAAAGTTTATGCACTCAATCCAGATTAGCCGCTCTCTGTCGGTACAGTCGGTACGTCTCTGTTGGTGACGCAATTCTATAAAGATAAATGGCAAGCACTTTATTTAAACACTTTGAAAGGCTTTGACATATCATGCCATTAAAAGAAATTGAAGGATGAACGAAACTTAATGAATCTCAAGTTTTATGTAATACGTTATTTTTAATTGCGCGTAAAAAATCTTTTTATAGCTTTACTGATTTAGAAATTTCTTAAACTATCTCTCACACGGTCCTTTTAAGTACTTAAAATCGGAAACGAATCCTTCTTCTGCGAAGAGGTGAATGTAATCTACAATCAGGGTTTATGCAAATAAAGCGCTCATCCGATACAATTTATTCGCAGTCTCCCTCGTTTTCCGCGTTACCGTTCGTTTGTTCGTTTAGAACGAGATTCAAGAAGAAGTAAATTCTTATTAAATGTTAAACTAAGGTATCGATACAGTTCTAAATTTATCTTTTTTAACGTTTATTTCTGTTCTTGTTACAGGGAGAAGACGATCGCGGAGGACGTCGCCACACAATTCCCCGCCCCCTTGGTCGGCTACATTAGTTTTAGTTCTAGCTTCTATGTCGTTATTTAGTATAGTCGGTGAGTAAATTTTTTTTAATTTTTTTAATATTGAAATGATGCAATCTCAAGTTGTGCATGTAAATAGAATTAATTATACCACTCAACATGTGTTGCTACCTTTTACTTCACAGCAGAAAATTATATTTCTGCTTCAATGATTTCCTGGTAATTAACAGGTCGTCAAACAACTGCCTTTAATGTTTTTGAGAATATAAATTGTTTGAGATTGACAGGAGTACACCATCGATCAATAAGAAAAAGAAGATTTAAAAGAGGAAATTACATTTTGTTGGAACCAAATGACTCCATCGATCAACTGTTTAAGTTAACTATTAATATCTTGTGGAATTTCCTTTAAATTTCCTCACAACTAGATTTGTCTTGTTTTACAAATTCTCACAAGCAATTGCCAAGTCCTTCATGTCTTCACTTGGACCAGCTCCATACCAACAAGAACACTCTTAAACCATGATGAAGCCAAAATTTCTATAGCAACTAAAATAGGATAAAAAGTGTTTTTAATCAGCCTTATATAGAATCTATAGTATTCCTGACGTCAGAAATAGGTTCACACCGTGTCATTTCAAGCGGCTACAATAAAACGTGCACGATTTAAAGCGCTTTTCGTGGTAGAGCGGCCATAGAACGCTTCAATCTTTAACTTTATTGGCCCAGCCATTAAATTAAAGCAATGGGGTTCGTCGACTTTATTTAGACTTTCACTTTTTCTGGTGGGTGTCCTCAGATCTTCAGCCGTCGACGAGCCGTTAACCGACTCGTGAGGTGTTATTTTTGACGACAATGATGCGCGTCTGAAATCACATCCGCTCGTCGGCCGCTATAATTATGGCCATAGTCTGAATTTCCGACAAGACGATTAGAGACTCGGAAAAGAACCTTCCAGAAAACTTAAAATAAAAAAAAATTGGTTAACGTAGCGCGTTTTTAGACTTCGGCGATACGAAAATAAATTTACTAATTCATTTACGGATGCAATGACGTGACGCCAGTGGGCCGACTATAATACCTCGTATTTCTAAAATTTAAATATTTATGATTATGGCTACCGGTTATGCTAATTGTACATCAATGTAGACACTGTTAGCATCATATCTATTATTGTATGGTTATGTAAAATGTCCGAGAATAAAGATTCTACTTCTTCTTACTTTATAATTCCGTTTGTGACAATCAAAATGAAAATCAATAGCTTATTGGCTACGTAAACCTATCATTTTCGATTTCGATCATACAATGAAACAAATCATTCAATATTTATAGAATTATAAACACGAGTTTATACTTCTTACTGTTAGAGGAATTTCCATTTTTTTTATTATAAATATAGTTGTTGCTGAATTAATTTAGATATAATTTATCTTGTGTTCTTAAAAAAGAAGCTTAGAGGAGTCGGTGAGGCAGATTTAAATTTTATAAACTACATATACATAACCAAAAAGTCAGTTAAACGCATCTCCCACCGGTCTAGATTAAGGGCGCCGCTTAAAGAAGCGCGGTGACGCTTTTGGGCTCCCCATGGAACGAAGCTCGCGTGATAAACGTACGTTACTTATTGTGTCTGGCGACTGCTAATCACTGGGATGCCGTCGCCGGCGCTGGTGCTGCTCTTGGCCGCGGTCCAACGTTGACGGCCGAAGAGCGCCGTGTACAACGACGGTATCCGAGTGCTATTTATGCATTTCCGATAGGACGGGTTCATTAATAAAAACGAAAACCCCCCTTACAATCATTTACCCCAAATCCTACTAACGTAGTGATCCTTCGACACCCCCATAATTAACAACCACTCACAATCTTTATATTAAACCGCAATAACAACATTTAACATTGGAGTTATTATTATTGAACCTCGAAATATTAATTGCGGTTACAATTATTTACCATAACAAGTAACACGTAGTTAAGTATTGATACTGTCATAAAATGGCTACGAAGGAACCTTGAGTATCACTATAAAACGTTTATTGTTTAACAATTGGTTGAACTATGTTAAATGGGTCTTAAATAAATTATCTAAAAATAAGAGAAACTAATTACAAATTTATGTACTGTAAAAAATCGATTAATCGACTAATACGGTGAGTTTTAATTTGAAACTTTAAAAACTCTGAAAATGCACGGCTAAACCCGAAACTTGCGAAACGGCTGACATACTCGTCGGGTGAAACATTTTCACGTCGTTTTCCTTTAATATGGATGAAGTACCAAGTATTTCTGGATTGCAAATATCTCCGGCTAGAAAGCGAAAATATCTCAAGTTAGGACATCTATATATCTGTGATTGAAAAGCATAAAACTGGCGCAGTCTACTATTAGCGCACTATAAAATAATATAAGGAGAAGGGACAAGTTACTTCACCTAAGCTATGTTCTGGAAGACACTCACTAATACACTTAACCGCAAAATTAACGCACCACTCTGACTTTTGGTTTTATTTCAAGAAGTGTTATATATTTCCGATTCATTAATATCAGTTATAATAATTTGTTCATTATTACGCCTTTTGTATAGGATTTGTCCGTCTTCTTTATTTAATATTGAAATCATAGCAGCTTTTCATGAAGGGCTTGTTTTTTAAGTAAATAAGCCTCACTTCTAAAATAAAAGTAGGCATTGTTTTTTAATTGTTTTACCAATTGATAAGATAACTGTCATTCGTGCAATACATAATGGAGCGTGCTAGACGAAATTTAAATCGTGATGAATGTGTTCAAACTGTAACTATGTCCAATGAAGGACTAACAAATCGCGAACTTGGTAGAAGGTTTGGCGTGGCTCATACAACAACGGGTTCTGCAGAGATTTGTAGAGACCAACGATTATGCTAGACGGCGTGGCCAAGGCAGGCCACGAGGTACAAATGCGGCTGAGGATCGATTTTTGATGCTTCGACCACTTAGGGAACGGTTCATTACTGCACGAAGCCTCCAAATACAACTAAGCGAGGTTCATGGCACTGCTGTTAGTCAAGATACCATAAGAAGAAGACTTCGTACTCAAAATTTACGACCTTGGGCAGCAGCTACTGGTCCCAGATTATCTGCAAACCACCGAAGAAACAGATTGGCTTTTGCAAGAAGGCATTGGGAAATCCATCATTGATAGCAGGTGTTATTTACGGATAACGGCCTTGTAAGTTCTGATCGTCATCCAAGACTGTACAGAAGGCCAAATGAAAGATATTCCACATGTAACATTCGAGAAACCACATTATGCGGAGACGGTTCAGTGATGTTATGGGGTGGAATATCTTTAACAGCTCGCACGGAACTTTTTATCGTTGATGGTGGACGTCTGATTTCTAAACGATACATAACAGACATTTTAGAACCTTTTGTGATACCTTTTGCATCTTATATTGGCGATTGGTTTATTCTTATGCAGGTTAATACGAGGCCACATGCGGCACATATTGTTATTGAATACTTAAATTATGTTAATATTCAAGTCCTCGAGTGGCCAGCCTATAGTCCAGACCTGAACCCAATCGAGCATCTTTGGGACATAATGGGACGAAGGATTAGAAGTCAGCAACCAACACCTAACAGCTTAGACGAGCTGCGACAGAGTCTTATTTGCGTATGGGAAGATATCCCTCAAGAAACCATCAGATTTCTAATTGAAAGTATGCCACGACGATGTCAGGCATTACATGTTGGGCCACTAGTTACTGATAGTCAAACTTATTGTTATTATCGAAATAATTCTGTTTGTGTATTCTATTCTTAATATGTTTTTCAAAATGTATGATAATTTTGACTAATTGTAATAAATCTAAATATATAAGTGGTGCGTTAATTTTGCGGTTAACTGTAGATGATTATGATGAAACTGTCAAGAATTCGATAAGAGAATTAATTTACAGATTTTTTATAAAAATGACCGTCTTATCCTTGATAAAGTATTGACTGAAGTGAAACAGCGCGATGATTTATTACAGATGTGTTGTTCAACATTGTACAAATTCATGAAAATGATAAACTTCAGGTCAGTGCCAATGTTCTAATCAATATAAACAAAATTTTGAGTAAATTAATGCTGTAGGTACCCTGATATGGTTAAATATGATATATTAATTAATGTAGGTACATGAAGAGAGATCGAAAGAGTGTGTTGATAGAACGTGATGATATAATTAGGTGGAGAAGAAGGTATTTGATGACAATTAAAGATTATAGTCGCCAAAATCGGCCAATATATTAGTTGAATGATACATCGCTAAACAGGATGACAGAATAAAATGTCGACGACAAACGTTTACAGAAGGACTGACTACAGGCTACTGATGACTACTGACTACATAGGATCTGAGGCTAATTTTGTTGTCTTTCGAAGGTAAAAAGACAACCGATTACCATGAAGAAATGAATACTGAAGTGTTTGAAAGATGGTTTGATCAAATATTAACAGTGCTAACAGACAATGCTGTTATTGTCTTGGATAATGCTTCATATCACAGCCGTAAAGTTGAAATATAGTAATATATAGTATAAAGTAAAATATGCAAGCTTGATTGACATCCAAAAATATTCAGTACAATGAAAAGATGGTTCGGTCTGAGCTTATTCACCTAATTCGACTTAATAAAGACCAATATAATACTCACGTAACAGATGAGATGGCCAAAAATTGCAACAAAACTGTTTTGAGGTTACCACCGCGAACTCAACCCAATTGAGTTTATGTGGACTCAAATAAACAATGAGGTGGCAAGTAAGAATGCTTCATACAAATTAGCAGATGTAGGGGTACTTTTAGTACAGGCTATCCAGAATGTCACTCCTTACAATTGGAAAAAATGTATGAGTTAGATGAAATTTCTTGTTCTAGGTTTAGTATTAGTTCTAGTTTTAGTTCAATTGAAAATATTTAACAATCTAACGGTGAATAACAACTGAATTTAGAACTAACACGATCATTAGAACTAACACTAGACCTAGAACTACAAACATCCGGGTATAGCCGAGTATCTCTTAAGACGGCTAAACCCGAATGT